GAATGCCTTCCCAATGCTCCTCAGCTGCTACATGTCACCAATTGACTGATTTGGGGTCAGGGAGGACTTCTGCCCCATGGTCAGATTGGTACAGACTGTGGGGTACCAATCTGTACCAGATTATTTGCCTTCCTCTGTAGCAGGGGTCGTGGGTCTCTACTTGGGCACTCTCTAGTGTATATTAACAACCTTTGCAGCAGCAGACATTGGGTGCTGTGGCCTCTCTGCTTTACCTGGGGCAAGTTGGGGTGTTATGTCTTGTGTTGCATTAGGATTGAGGTTGGAAAATGGGTTTGTGTAGGATGGTTTGGATAGGGATGCTTCTGCCTCAGGCAGGGTTTGGACTAGATGTGGCCTCTGCAGGTCCCTGCCAACCCCACTTCTGCATGATTTCATAGCAGTGTTCAAACACCTGAAGGGGGATTATTGAGAGGATGGAGATGGGCTCTTCTCTGTGGCTGTAGGGGACAGGACTAGGAGCAATGACCTCAAGCCTCAGCGGGAAAATTTAGGTTGAAGATTAAGAGGGATTTTCTGACTGTGAGGGTGGTCTAGCATTGGAAGAGGCTACCAAGAGAAACTGGCTTCTCCGTTCTTGAATTTTTCACAGCAGTTTGGACAGTTACTTGGTGGGATGGTTTTAATCAGGGACAATCCTGCTTTGAGCAGGGGCCCTCCAGACCTACTTTTGTACAATCCTATGATCCCTCTTCTTGATGGCAGCTTTTCAAATAACTGAAAACGGCTATCCTTCCCTTTTCTTCAGACTAAACATACCTAGTGCTTTCAACGTTTCCTGGTCTGACTCCGTTCTTCACGCTTGGCTGGACTCCTCCTTTCTTAAAATCATAGAAAAGTAGGGCCCCCCCCAGCAATTTGAATTCGCAGAATAAAAATAAGGGGACCCTTTCACTAGGACGTCCTAGTTGAGAGTTTTTTGACCCCAAAATTCACTTCCGTTTGCTCAGGCCTGGACTTGGTGACCTTCAGTGTATGTTGCAAGATATCTCAAACTTGTTCTGGGCAGTAGAAGAGCAAATCCTGGGTGGAAAGGCAAGAGGCTGTTTGTTTTTTGGTTAATTTGATCCCATTTGAAGGAATAAATGGACAGCGGCAGCTGTGGCGTGAGGCCTGTAAAAGCAAGAACAATAAAAAACAACACCCGGGGTCCCAACAGTTTGTCTCTGTGTCTAAGGAATGGGGCTTGTGTGTATCATCCCAGTACAGTCCTGGCTCAGGAGACAGAGCTTATTCATCTGTGTGTGATCCCAGGCTCAGCTCGATGAGCTGCTGGTCCAGGGCTAAGGTGCAGAGAGCAGAGTTACTTGTGCCCTTGCAGAGAGGTTGCTTTGCTCCGCTCCATCGTGTACCTGTAACAAAATCGCCATCGAACAAAACGTGTCCCTCCTGGTTCGGAGCGGAGGCCCCGAGTCTGCCCACGCTGGTGCTCAGATGTGTGTACCTGCAGGATCAGGGCCCGTTGCTCAAATAGTGTATCGCTCCGAGCAGCCCTGGGAGGCACGCAGAAGTTGAGCCCGTGGATGTCCGTGGGCCTCAAGCACGTGCCGTAAACGGAGGCTGTGCGTCAGCGCTCTGGGGAGCCGGGGCTATTTTAGCAGATCGGAGCTGTCTGCTTGTCTGGGTGCAGAACAGGAGCAGGAGAGGAGCAAATGGTGCATAAGCCTCCTGTGTTTGGGCTTCGGCTAGATTTGGGCTAAGTTCAAAATGCACATCCTCAGAGTCCCCATTTGACTCCCAGCCGGGGAGTCACCTAAAGTCCTTGGTATCAGCGGTGTGCGTGTGTGTGTGTGCATGGAGGACTGAGAGAGGGAGGGAGATTGTCCCTTTAGCTCTTACTGCTTTACTTTGAGGTATACCGTTCTCTTAAATTTATGCGGTGCATTGTCACGCCTGTCAGGTAATGCTGGTTGTGTTAAAGATGCCTTTTGTGATATGATTGATTCCTACAAGCGCACACAGTCGTTCATCCATCATGGTCACAGCCAGGGTGAGATATATCCTCTTGTCTCTGCATGCAGTGAACTGGAGTCCTTTGAGCAGCTCCGGTGGCTCAAGCCACTTGTGGAAAGAAGGGTTTCGACAACACTGTCCTTCCGGCCCAGGAGGCAGGTGGATCAAGGGCTTTCCTTGCACTCTGGTGATGCAATGCTGCTAAAATCACCCCTTCTGCCCTGGGCAGCTTTTGTGATGCTTTGCCTTCCTGTGGACCCCCCTGTAAGGCCTTGGAGCCCCACCAAGGGAGTTGAAGCATGCGCTGGGCTGATGGGTCGTGCCCGGCATATGCACTGCATTCCCATGGCATGGTCTCGACTGCATTGTTGTTCTATAAAAATAGAACAAAATTTTATAAATTTTGATGGGTGTCTATTAATACCTGCACCTGTCTGGCAGACTCTGCCATGCAAGGTGAGAGAAGGATGAAGCATTAGATGTTAATTTGCATTTCACTTTACTAAGAGCCTGCCTGAATTGTTTTTCTGGGAAAATAACACTGGTTAGGGACTTGTCCCTCCTGATGCACTGTCCTTACAGAAATAGCAGAATCTCTCTATGTTTCAGCCTCCCTCCTAGGCCAGTCAGTAGCTCCCATTCACTCCTGCAAAAGCTGTGAGCATGTATTTGAAGGGAGAATCGAGCCCTTTGTAGCCACGTATAAGTGCTAAAAAATACGTATCAAACAATCCGGGGACACTATTTTAATAATTCATTAGAGACAAATCGGTGCAGAGGAGAGGCAGGAAGAATTTAGGGTGCAGAATAGGAGCACACCTGGACTAGCAGTGTGGAGCATTGCTCTATTCTGTATCCCCTTGAGCAAGGTGACAAAAGAAGCAGGAACCCTTTCGCTGAGTGTCTCCATGCCTGACCCCTGCAAATCTGTAGTAGTGTTCAGCACCACGACTACTCTCAGGGTGGCTGCAAGTGCTGAGGAGAGCTTCTCAGTGCCTCCAGCCTATCTTCCGGAATAATATTTTGCTATAAGACAGCATGGATTTTATCCGTAGGCTCATTTCAGTAAAATGTCCCAGGATTACTATTTTAAACAACTTTAGCCTTGCTTGTCAGACTCATTTTAGTAGGAAAGTAGGGCTGGAAGGGTCCTCATGAGGTCTTCTCATCCAGCCCCCTGCTCAAGCTGGGATCATCCCTGAATAAACCATCCCAGCCAAGTCTTTTCTTGAAAACTTCCAAGGATGGAGATTCCCCGATTTCTCTAGGCAGCCTATTCCAATGCCTGACCACCTACTAGATGTCAGAAGGCATCTCACGGGGGCATGGTCTGCACCAAAAAGCAACAAAAGGCAGAGCTGTGAAGGGTGTGGAGCTTGTTCTTGATGTTTTGTTGCTTTGCAGCCAGCAGATACACAGCTCACATACACTAGGTTTTGGGGAAAGTCTAACACCCATCGCCCGGAGGGTCTGATTCTCTGCTGTTCTTTAGCCCGTGTGCAAAGTGGGTATAAGACCCAGTGGAGCTGGAAAGGTGGTGTTTTAGGCTCACAGAATCGTAGGAAATGAGGGTTGAAGGGAGCTCAGGAGGTCACATCTAGTCCAACCCCCTGCTCCAAGCAGGACCAGCCCCAACTACATCATCCCAGACAAGGCTTTGTCAAGTCGGGTCTTTAAAATTTTTAAGGATGGAGTGTCTAGTTCACAACCTCTCTGGGTAGCCTGTTCCAGTGCTTTAGTACCCTTCTTGTGAGAGAGTTTTTCTGAATATCCAACCTCAACTTCCCTTACTGCAACTTGCACCCATTGCTGCTTGTTCTGTCTCCTGTTTTGCACCCGCATTGCCCAGTTGAGGGGCAAGGGAGGGAGTAACTGGCCCTGAGTTTTGAGAGCCTTGTGCACAGCGTGCCCCAAATGCTCAGCAGTTCCCAGGAGCAGAAGCTCCTTGACCTTAAGGCAGCAGCAGGTGTTTCTGTCCTGGAGGCCCTGTCTGAGAGCGGGACTGGTGGCCCAGAGGATGTCCATTCTTGGCAGTTCATCTCCAAAGGATTTCTGTCACCAGTTGGTGCTGCCACCTGGACTCCTACTCGAATGGGTTCCCCATCTGGTGGGAGAAGCACAAAGCTAGTACTGCCTCCTTCAACTTCCATGGGACTTGGGGGTCTATCCCTTGCATCCATGGCCTGTCACTTTGTCACCCCGCTGGTTACCAGCCCAGTTATGCCACAGGAGCCACACTCTTGACCCACTGTTGCACAGAGGCAAGGATCTCCAGGGATTTGGTCCTCCCCCCGAAGATCCAAAATTGAAGAACTTGGATCCAAAGGCTGGATGATCCTTTTCAGACTACCAAGAGTATTAGTCTGTGCTTTGAAAATGCCATTCTGACATTAATTCCTAGCAGTGCCTTGCCCCCAGATAGAAACCCAGTGCCACGGGTTCCCCGCTTGCTCGGGACCCCCAGATATACACAGTGGGCGAGTTGACACGAGATGCTAACTGTGCAGTAGCCTAATTCTATTGTGCAGTAGCGTGCAAGGCAAAACCTATGCTAGTACACAGTATTAGGCTACTGCACAGTTAGCATCACTAAAAAGCCTTGTGCTGGCAGTGATTTAGTTCTTGGTTATACAAGTACTAAATTTAATGTGCAGTAATTATGGCACATTAATGGACGTGTAGACGCACCCAGTGTCTTGGAGTGGGGGCAGCACCCTCTGATGCCAGTGCAGGCATCTAGGCTGGGTGAGCCCCTGGCTGCTTGACCTCTGAGACCAGGCCGTCTGGTCCTTGGCCCCCTGCTATGCATAGCCCCCACCTCCTGGTTCAGCTCCTGGATATGGGTTTCATGCAGCAAAGTGGGCAGCTCTTCTTAAAGAAAAACTGCATTTATTAGTCAACTGCCATACAGTGGCTTTGGGCCCCAGGCAGAGTCCCAGGCAGGTAACCAGAAACAGGAGAGGAGCTTGAATCCGTTTGGGCTTCCATTTTTGTCACTGTATGCAAAATGGCTCATCATTCATCACAGATCTACTTCAAAACACCATTAACTCATCCTTCCCCCACGTAAAAGCCAGTTAGGGAAATGGAGGCATGCAGCATTATTGTAACATAAGACCATTTTAACCTGGAGATATTGCAAACTGTGCTGTAGCCTGTCACACACAAGGTAGACGCTTTGTACACCATCTCTCTCTGCGGTCCCAGGGCTCTAGGTAGGAATTTGGATGGAAGTTTGCTAGGCTATTACAGATGCAAAACATAATCAGAAACATTTTTATAAATAGCGTCTCTGAGCTCCTATGTAAAATAAAATGTTGTGCAAATGAAAATAAAATGATTAGTGAGTCTTCAATTCCCATAGTGAATTTTCATACACGAATAGGTGCTGGTCCATCCATTAAAAGTCTGCACGAAACTGAAAGACTAGGAGAAGTTGGGAATTTTTCTTGCTGTTACCTGCTCAAGAAATGGAAAGAAATATGAAGTCTTCTTATGAAGCTAACCTTACATTTTTACATTCAAGGAAAAGCTTCAGGACTCAAAGAGCTCAGTGTACTCATGTTGGGAAGACCAGAAAAATCTCGACTCCTGAACTCTGCACGAATGGACACACGAAATCACCCGTAGTGCAGGAAGAACTTGTAATGAGTCTATCGCGTTGGGGTGTGTGGGAGCGGGGTTTCATACTGGGGCAAAGCGATTCAGACAACTCTGGGCCCACTGGTTTGACCTCAGTTGTATCCGAGGTTCAGAGATGGGTGGAGGCCAATCTTACTGAATATTTTCATTAAGGTATTTGCAAAAATTGCAAAAATATAGTTGCAATTGAAATGTGTTGATAACACAGTTAGGAAGAATTGTCTAGGGTCCAGAGGCACGTGACAAAGATGGTAAAGAGCTTGGAAAGCAAGTCATACAAGGTGAGGCTGAAGGAGCTTGCAGAAAAGATGCTGAAGAGGGGACATGAGAGCAGTCTTCAAATACTTGAAGGGCTGCCAGAAAGAAGAGGGCAAGCACCTTTTCTCTCTTGCTGCAGAGAGGAGGATGCAGACCAATGACTTGGAGTTGCAGCAAAGTAGGCTGAGGTCGAATAGCAGGAAAAACTTCCACTGGTAAAATAGCAAGGCTGTGGAATCGAGGCCTCAGGGCATTGTGGACTTTCCATCGCTGACGGTGTTTAAGAAGGGGTTGGACACCCACTGGTTGGGGATGACCAAGGCGTAGTGATGCCTGTGCTTTACCACGGGTGTTTCCAGGCTTCTGAGCTTTGCTGCTTGTCCCTGACCCCTCTTTCTGCTACATGTGTCAGGGTGTCCGCAGAGGCATTGGGTGTTGGTTACAGCCAAGGCTGAGGGTTTGACTAGGGTGTGCCGGTGCTCCTCCTGGGATTTAAAACCAGAGGTTCCTGGATAGGGTGCCTTGCTCCTCCGTTTAGGATCAGACCAATGCCATTTTTGGGGTCAGGAAGGAATTTTACCCCGTGGTCGGGTTGATATGGACAATTATTATATTGCTGGTATATTAACAACCTTTTCTAGAAGCAGGGCATTGGCTGCTGTGGTTCCCTGGCTTTACTTGTGGCAGGGTAAAGCATGGTGTTATATCTTGTGTTATGTCAGGGTTGGTGTTAGTTTTATGCAGAGTTTAGATGATGGTTGCACAGGATAGTTTGGGTAGGGGTGATCCTGCCTCAGGCAGGGGGTTGGACTAGATGAGATTTTTGGAGGTCTTTTCCAGCCCTGCTTTACGATTTCTATGATCAAAATGTCATACAGGAAGAAGGGCATGACCTTGAGAGTGCCAGTGGGCAGGCATTTAGCAAGCAAGGCGAAGTTGGGCTATTGTTTGGAGAACACCAAAATGGAAAAGGAGCTGTTTAAGCTAAAGGATAATATTGCCACAATAGGAATAAATGGGTATAACTTGCCTATTAATAAGTTTAGGGTGAATGTTAGAGGAAGGTTCTTGCCTTCACAGCAGTGAGATTCTGGAGTAGAAGTGGGAGGAATAATGCAAACTAGCTTTATAATGGAGCACGACTAGTTTATAAAAGGGATTTTATGATGCAGTTGCCCTTAGTAAAATGGGATCAAATTCTGTGATCCAGCAGTTTCCTTCTAGACCTATTTCGCCATGAATGCACAAGAAAGTGAGCTGGATGCCTCCTATCCACGTTAATAGAGTGATACTGCTTAATTTCAGCACACTATATTCACACAATACGCTAAGATCAGGACGTTTGCCCAGAGAAATTACTTTATTAATGAAGTGGTGTAAGATTGACGTTGTAGCTGTGATGGTCCAGAAATGATGCAAGAGACAAGGATTTCTTAAGCTGATATCTTATGGGACCAACTATGTAGTTGGAATAAAGTTTGACAAGCTGTTAAATGCAAACCATTCTTCCTCAGCTCTGATCACAAGGCTGAGGTAGAACGTATTACCATCGAAAGCCTGGCTAACTTTATTCCAGCTGCATCGTTTGTCTAAAAAGAGGTATTTAACCTTAATTAATAATGTGTTTTCAAGCACTGGGTATTGTGCTCCTCTGTTTCTTGCTCTCCTTTTCACACACACACACACACACTTTTTTTCTCAGGCTGTAAACATAATCTGCTGTACATAGTGCACTGCAATTATAGCAGCGTATAGCAGCATTTTAAACCAAATAAATAACTGAACTCCCAACATGCCATTTGATGGTCTGGTAATAAATAGCATAAGTAATATGACTTCCAAGTTATTAAAATCCTTCAGCAAATGTTCTTGAAAGGATGCACTCTTTTCTTCAATTTATACTGCATTCTGCTGTGTAGGAAACTTCCAATAACTACACCATAGCCGTTTGACACAAACATTAAACCAACCTTTTGCAACGACAAGATGATATAGTGACACAGGTTGATGAAGATGGTTGTGTGTCCTGAATACTGTGCAATTTCATAGCACTTTATTCTTCATCATATTGCAGGTGTCTCCTACCTAGTCCCTAAATAGCCTTTGATATTGCAGTGGGATATTTTCATGCAGTTTTGCAAATTATTTACTTTGAGTATGAGAACAATGGTATTAATGAAGTGCCATGTACAGCCGGCGTTGCCACTCTTACACATTCATTTGTTTAAATGTTGACGGAATAAGAAATAACCACATTGGAGTATGCAAAGGAGAATTCTAGGTAAGAAGCAAGAGTAGATATTTCAGAATTGTTAGTGCAACTGTAGCTAAAAGCAATACGTGGGCCTCCCTGTATTGCACTGAGATCGCCCATGGAATTTCCTAATAAGAACATATTTGTGGACCTATTTTCAATTGGGAGGACATGAGCAGAGGCCATACTAAACTTAACAGTGAGAGTTAAATAGAAATCCCTTTTCAAAGTCAAAGCGGAGTTTTAAATTGCTACAAAAGTCCAGTAAACAGTGGTGGATTGGCTTTTCTGACCCGCTGCTTACCAATTCCTTTATCTGCTCATGCTCACATGTCCTAGATCAAGAAGGCAATTTCCTTTACAGCAGCCTGGGACGTGCAATCCCAATAAGCCAGCAGTCATCTGAGTTTTACGGGATCAGTGGACTACAAAGGGAAAAGAAAGAGAACAATTTAATAGCAGTTCTTTTCCATGGGTGACTCAGTCTGTGCGCACCGTTTCGCCTCTCTCACCTCCTATTTCTTATTGTGCTCTGCTTATCAGACTGGCCATAGGAAAGCTTCTTAGCGAAAAAAGATGAGTCCAGACCTGAGCATGAAAGAGAGAAAACATTTAAACAAAGTTTAACAACAACAGACAGGCATGTTTCCCCTTCCCTCCTCATCCAGTGATCATCTGAGAACAAGCTCCAAATGATTTCTGCTATCAGCTAAGTTGCTGTGTTCAGTGCAGCATCAGGCCACCGTGCACCAGAGAAGGGCTCTTCTTCTTTCTAGTCTGGATGCCAAGAAATTAATACAGCTCTCTATGGCTTAAAAATGAATACAGCTCTCTCTCTCAGGCTTACAACATGTTTTCTATTCGGCACGATGTGGCACTGAACATTTTTTGTTCTTTTTTTTTTGCTGTGGTTCCTATATATATATAGATATCTATATGTATCTATATATGTATATATATATATGCAGAGTCTTTTCTTGCCTGATGTTAATATGCTGGTTTCCATCCTGGAGTAGTTTGGAAGTAGGTGAACAATCAGGATGCTCCAGCACTTGCTGCTGCTCATCCAAAACACACTGAGCATCTTATCCTGTGTCTCCAAAGCCAGGCCGTTAGGACCTTTTCCCCATAGTTCATTGTATGGGCTTTTTGGACCAATGCATAGCAGACACATCTCCATCCTTGGAGTTCAGAGTTTGGGCTTACAGTAAAGTTACCTGCGCTGCAGAGGGCCCTTCTTCCAAATGATGCTACCCTGGCCCCAGGACCGTCATTTTGGACTGATTTTTAGTGCTTGAGGACTGCTCCAGTGTCCTAATCACGTGGTCTTTTCGAGTTTTATGGCCAGACCCAACAGCCTTTCTCTGCCTGGCTGCTCCAGAGCAGTGACAAAGCAGGTGTTGCTTTCAGCAGAAGAGACCTCCTCCTCGGAGAGGGGCGTGCAGAGACCCAGTGCAGCAGCCCTCCTCCCTTCAGCTCCAGCTGAATGGTCTTGCAAGGCTGCAGGGCCTTCCTACTCAAGAAGACTGTACGAAGTGGGGAAGAGTGTGTGGGATGGGGACACCGGGGGGGACAGGCCAGTGCTCCCTCGTTCCTCTGTGGGAGGGAGAGGAGTATGGAGTCGTTACTCTAATAGGGATAGATTAATTCTGCTCCAGCTGACATAATGGCCATAGCAAACGTGTTCACGTCGGAGCCCCCGTCAGAGTCTAATGAATCTGCTAAATCCTGCTAAATACTTGTCATCAACTATCTCAGACATGCATGATTCTGGAAGACCGTCTAGTTTATGACAAGGATATGAGAAGAAGAAGAAGAAGATTAATTTAGCTTTGGGGGACTAGGCATTCATTTTCCTGCTGGCGTATGATGCTCATGTGTTTTTCCTCTTCTAGGATTTAGGTGATTTTACACCAAAGGAAGGACCAAAATGCTTGTCAGAGAAACACCTGCTCCCATTGAAGTAAATGGCACATCTCCTGTTGGAGGCAGTAATCCCGGTGCCTCTGTCCTCAAGTTTATTGGCTTTGCTGAGAGTCCTGACACTCCAGTGAGTCTCATGGCAGCCGACTGCTGCACCACACGTAGCTTCTCCAACGTCAGTGGGGCTTCAGAAAGGCGTGCAAGGATCGGTCCAGCTTGGAGATGATTGCAGAAATGAGGCCCAAGTGTCAGCACCAAACTTTTTATAAGGTACAAAGTTAAAAGCTGAATTGCACGTCAGTATGCACTGTAGGAACTGCTTTCCTAGGAGTTAAGGCCAAGCCACAACCAGTGGGAAAGTAGGGCTTCCTTCTCAGCCATCTACTGCATGTCTAATATGGGGTAGCATAGAAAACAAACTGTTTACTGAGTAGATAGAGACAGCTACCAGTGAACCAGTCTGATATGCACTCTACTCAAGGCAAATTCATGAAGGCTTTTCTTAATGCCCTAAAACAACTTCATTTTTCTTTGCTCTGAGTGTGGCAGACGAAGTCTGTGTTTCCTACTGTTCTTTTATGGCTGTTAGGGCAAAAACTTCCAACCCACAAAGCAAACTTTGCGATGCTTTCTGTCGTCATTTCAGCACAAAATGGAAGGTGTTTCTACGATACAAAACAACGTGATCCTTAAAACAGAGCTCTATGGGAGAAAGGTAAAGGTATCAGGTGAATATCCCAGAGTATTATCAAGACCTCTCTGTGCTTTGAGCTAATTTGTAATGGGATGGTCGCCACAGAGATGTGGCTGTGCAGGTGGGATGGTCTGGGTTGGGGCCGTTCAAGGGAGATTGAGGCAGGCATGATCCTCATAGACCTTTCTTGAGGCCCCATAGATCTTCCTGCTCACCTGTTTGCTTTTCCCTGTAACATGCTCGCAGAAGCAGCCATCCTTGCTAGAAGGACAGTGGCCCTTAATGAACTGCAAAACAGTTTCCAAATGAGGAAGGCAGAAATATGAAACATAAATATTAATTGCTAATGATTTAGATTAGTGGCACAGAGGATGCTAGAGTAGGAGCAGGAGACACTCTTGCTACACAGAGGTATAAACACTTTTTGGCCTTGCAGGAATTGGGACCGAAGACACTATAGCAATTAGCAGAGTTTTCATCATGACAGCTTTTTGCAGAATCAGGGGATTGTCCAGATCAAATAAGTTCCTGTTGACAATTTGGCTTCATTTCAAGGAAGCGCAGTTCATGCATAGGCAAACTAGGCACGTGCCTAGGACCCTAAGTGAAGAAGAGGGCCCAGTTGTGCATATTTTATGTATTATAATTATTGAGGGAAAAAAAGCCAATATAAAAATGTCATCTTCAGCTGGCGGCCTACGGGTTTGTTTGCCATGGGCCCACTACAGGGTTAACCCTTCCCTGGTTGTATCTCAGGTAAACTTGTCTTAAAAAGAAGGTGAGTGAAGACTTCACCGTTCATGCTGAGATAAAAAAGGGAATTTGCTGATTCAGCCAATTTCTGCTCTCTAGTTTAATCTAGCTCACTTGTAAATCAAGCGATGTCTTTGAAATATCTGTCTTCCTCGCTAATTGATACACCTCTCATGCTGTTCTATGCTTGGGATCCCATTTAGCTAATAAGCATGATAACCTAATTCCTTAGCAGAGAGTCAGCTCATTTGTCTGGTGAAGGCCATCAATCATCTCTAGTCGTCTCAGCCACCTTGGGAATACATGACTTGTTAATGGAGTGAGACCAAAGGAGGGTTGGATATTAGGAAAAATTTTCTCACTAGGAGGGCGGCGAAGCACTGGAGAGGTGGTGGGGTCTCCATCCTTGGAGATCTGCATCCGTGACTGGGATGATGTAGTTGGGGCTGGTCCTGTTTGGAGCAGGAGGTTGGACTAGATGTGACCTCCTGAGGTCCCTTCCCACCCTATATTTTTATGGGGGCCTTGTTTCCGCATTGCACCACGGTGCTGCGGAAGGGCCCAGTCTGGGCAGTCTCCTTGCAGGGAGGAAGCCTAATGTTTTACCTATGGAGAGCAGGAATGAATCTGCCCCCCAGGGAGAGCACAGTGTGTCTAAACCCCCTCTCTGGCTGGCTGGCCAGGATTCATTCAGGTGGCCAAGCCCTACCCCACCTCCTACACCGGGGCTTCGGGGGACTCCCCAAGCAGGGGGAGATGGGGCAGTCCCAAGTGCTGCTCGTGGAGAGCGTGGATGTGGGGGACAGGCAGACAAGGTTCTTCGGGTAAATCTGCTATCTTTTATTAGACCCGCTCAAATAGTTGGAAATAGTCATTCATCCAGGACTCTGTGTGTGCTGGAGCAAGTGGTACATCAACCTCGGGGACCCCGGGGCCTTCCCTGCAGCTCCCAGCGAGCTGCCTGCAAAGTGCAAGGCTGGAAGCGGGAGGGTTGGATTGTCTTTGCCCAGTGACCCTGCTCCTCTCCCCGTGTGCTTTCCTTTCTTCTCCTAGTTGCTGCCTGTAGGGTAAGAGTATTATTATGTTGTCGTGAGGAGAACCACTACTACCGCAGGCTACTGCCAGCCTCCTTAATGAAGGGACACTCATTTATAATGGACTTGCAATGCATTTGTTTGACCGTGGTCATTAGCGGCATTGCTGCTCCTGAGAGAAACTGTTTCATCTGCAGCTTACTGGAAACCCGATAATCTGGTACAGCGCTTCCACCTGCCACGTACCTTTGCTCACGCAGACACACACACGTGTGCATGTGTTCACATGCACGCGGAGACAACAACACTGAGGACGCTTAGGGGTTGGCAGTATGTGACCTGGGGCAGACCGTACAGTCCCGAGCGGCTCCATCCTCTTGTCTGCCGGACCCTGAGTGTAGTTTGGGACGATTACTTCCCAAGAGATTTCTTGTTCAGCCTGGACAGGATGCTGTGCAATTCCCAGCTCCTGTTCAGCATGTGTGTGCTGTCATTAGGGGAGGAGAGGACAAGGCTGTCTGTGGTGCGGTGTCATGTATGGAAACAGGGGAATATCAGGACAGATCAGGGGATTAGTAAGTGAGGCACTGAAGGGCAAGAGCCCTGGTGAGGTGGGAGTCCAGGAAGGGTGCCCGATCCTTCAGGCACAAAAGGGGACCATCCCAGTGCACATAAAGGGAGGCAAAAGAGCCCAGAAACCCTCTTGGCTGAATAGGGAAATCCAGGAGAGCCTAGGAGGGGAAAAAGAGAGGCCTACAGACTGTGGAAGCAGGGGGCAGCTGCCAAGGAGGAGTACACCTGCTTGGCTCGCGCTTGCAGGGAAGCAGTTAGAAAGGCCAAAGCAGCAATGGACCTCAGGCTGGCAACAAAAAGACAATAAAAAGTCCTTCTTTAGGTGCGTAGGGAGCAAAAGGAAGGTGCATGGGAGCATAGGACCGCTACAGGGCAACTGGTAACAGATAGGAGGGATAAAGCTGAGCTCCTAAATGAGTTCTTTGCATCTGTATTTCTCAGCACGGGTAAAAACATCTCTCCCAAAGGG